CATTGGAAGATTGAAACTTTTACAATAAGATTTGGGAATTAATTATAAAGAACAAACAGCTTCTCATGGGAAATAGATTCTGGTTTGGTTTTTACAAGACAAAACAAAGATAAGCAATTTCATGATTTTAAAAACTGGATACCAGAGGGGACAAAAACTTTTGGATAGAGGAAAGATTTACAGGCCTGTAAAATGTTGCAAAACGTTATAATAATAAAAATAATGAAGAAGACTTTTGAAGAATGAAATCAGAAAATAGTAGCCACAATATCAACAATATCAGTAATGATGTCTGCTTCTAAGGATAGACTATGCCCAAAAGATGTTATTGAAGAAATGATATATGTAGAAAAAAATTTATCTGATGAGGTAGAGATGCTATTGAAAGTGGATTTACAACTTACAGGCCAAGAGAATGACTTAGAAAAGGATGTTTCACTGGATCCACAAAAGAAAGTGGCTGAGGTTCTAAAATTTAAAAGGGAAATACAAATGAACCAAGAGAGTGACCTGGATATTTTTTTTTCCTGCTGGATTTACAAGAGAGGCTTGTTAAAGCCTTGAAGAATTCTGTATGATGGGATAAAGAAGAAATGAAGAGAAATCAAATCCTGCGACAATATTTGAATGAAGTAAAGATTAAGAATGTTAGAAGTAAAAGGAAGGAATACAAAGTTGGTTTATTTGATCAAGGTTAAAACAAGATATGTTGTTACTGTACTTTGGGTAACCCTTTATGGACTCTCTGCTGATACCAGGACTGAAAAGTTGATGCTTTATGGATCTGTTTATAGATAAGAGATGGGATATCATATGCTGGTCTATGACCGAAATAAAATTGATTGATTGAGATGGGATATGGGATATGGGATGAAGAAATAAATTGTCAAGTTCAGCCCAAGAACAACAGCGAGATACTCCAGAACAGTTTAGCTCCTTTATTAGCTTACACCTAATAAACAGTATCTCGCCAGACTAAATCTATACCACAATAACAGTAACTATAACCATGAGGCCCGGGGGGGTGGGGGCGGTCAGTCTCATTCTCTTGGCTTTCCCTTGCTCCGGCTGGGGAGTGAGGAAGTGCTTCCCCTGGAATGTCTCTTCCCCCTCCTGGCAACCTTGAAGCTCCATTCCAGAACTTTCCCCGTTCATGCCTTCTATCACATAAATGTTTGTAACCTTAGAGGGAGTGAAGAGTAGCTAAATTTGTTTATACTTGTTGTGATGAAGGTTGGAAGTCACCTCTTTATGTATTTCTTTTCTCTTTATTATATTCTTACTTTTTCTTCTCTCTTTTTTCTTTTCTTTCTTTCTTTTTTTTGCACTTGTTACTCCTTTCTATTCTCTTTACTTTCTTTAAGTTTAGTTTGTATTAGACTGTACTATTATAATAAAAATTCTTAATAAAATTATATATGCCAATTACCGGCCAGAGGTTGAGATATATAACTGGATACCAGTTATAGGAATACCATACTGATGATATCACACTCTGTGCCACTGGACGACCTCCTGCAGTGGTCTCATATAGAGGTTAAAGAAGAGAGACCTGAGCCCTGAGGCATCCCACACTGCAGAGGCCTAAGGCTCAACTTCTTCCTCCCACCAACATTGACTGGAATTAGCCACAGAGAAAGGAGAACCACTGCCAAACAGCATTCCTCACTCCTAACTCCCAGAGTCAGCCCAAAAGGATACCATGGTCAATGATATCAAATACTGCTGAGGGATCCAGGACAGATATACCACCCTCATCCCGAATCCTCCACAGCTCATCCGCAAACATGACTAACACTGTCTCAGTGATTTAACCCAGCCTGAACCCTGACTGAAAACAGTCCAGATAATCTGCATCATTATCATAATCATCTGAAGCTGAGCACCTATCACCCTCTCAATAACCTTCCCTAAAAAGAGGATGTTGGATTATGGATGAAAGTTGTCTAACATGATCAAATTCAAGGATGGCTTCTTGAGAAGGGAGCATATCACTATCTCCTTCAAGTCCAGTGGCACCACCCCCACCTGCAATGAGGCATTAATCACCACTTGGACCCAACCATATGCTGCCATCCAAGAGGCCTTAACCAACCAGGAAGGGCACAGGTCCAGAACACAGGTCGCAGAGCTCACAGCCCTGAAGACCCTGTCCACTTCCTCAGGAGTAACCAGCACAAACTCTTCCCAGATAACCGAACTCGTATGTGCCCTGGTCACGTCCATAGGGTCTGCCCAGCCAGCATCCAACTCTGAGCCAAGTTGAGTTACTTTATCTGAGAGATGCTGAGAATATTTCTCACAGTGGCCTACAAGGACTTCCCAGAAAGACCTGGTCACCCTGAACAGGGCTGCAGGCCAGCTATCTGCAAACGCAATAAGAACAGAGAAGTGAGCTTGCTTCACTGCTCTTATCACCATGAGTTAAGTCTTAACAAAGGCTCTCCCCTGTGCTCAGTCACCCTCACTCTGTTTGTGGGCTTTCCCCAATCTTCCAGTTTAGTCTACAGCCTTGGAATTATCTGGAGATGACCCATCCAGCTACTAAAAAGGTCTGACTCTGGTCAGCTTTTTTAAAATCAGCCAACATTAGCCTGGTGCTGCCAGCTTCTTTGATTGCAAAAAGGAGAACGGAAGCATTTTGCAGTAAGTCAGATGTTATTCTGTAGTTATATTATCATGTTCCAGAAGAATCAGGGGCTCACACTGTAAGCTTATTTTGCAGTATGTGACTGCAAAATACCAAAAAGATTAACACATTTAACATGATGAATCTTTTCCTAAAAAAAAAAAATTGCAGGAGATTCCTCTATTTTCTAGTCTCTAGTCTTATAGTCATTATAAGGCTTATAATCTGCATCATGAGACTCACTAGCTCAGAGCTTTTTTCAAGTGTTTTATTCCAGTTTTTTATTCAACTTATTTTGTTAACCCAGTGAACAAATGTTCCTGTTTCCCCCCTTATCTACCAGCCCATGTGACCTAGTAACCAGCCTTCTTGACAAACATGCCTTTGTTTTAACCATTAACATACAGGCATATTCGTTCTGCTCAGTGATTTCACTGAAAATCCACTCTTGACAGAGTAATTCCTGCTCTTGTTCTAAAGACAAAGGGCAATGAGTCTAGTCTCAACCCCAATGAATTACTATTCAAAACAGGTAAAAATAAGTAAGTAGAAATCCTTGCTAGAAGGGCTGTGGCTAATTTAAACAGTTCCAGGTTAGAGGAGAAAAATAACAGTAATGGGGGTTCCTCTCCAGTTATTTTAGCCGTTTTTTAGTACAACTTGGTCTAGGGGTTGGGGGTAGGATTGAAAACTGAAATACAGTACAAAGATGTAGTGCCTATAGAAGTCCCAATTTTGCAGGATTGCTCAAGGGTATTCTTGCAATTGCAGGTGGAGTTAATCATCAGGTAACTCTGCTGAGTGATAATTGGGGGAAATTAGTTTAGTCCTCCAACAAATTCAGGCTCAATTGGCTGAGTTGGTTATCTTAAATTTTAGGCTCTGGATGACAGCCTCACTCCTCTGACCCAATTAAGTGTACGGTGCAAATAGGACTAACAAATTTCAGTGACATATCAGTTAAAAGGATTATTAGCCCTATGTATAATACCTTCCTCATTCTGTAATATTAAAAATTACACTTCAGCAGTAATTTTCTATAGTTATGTGGGCTGCAATGGGAAGGGTCACAGGTTGAACACCTTGGCACAAAGAGGCTTTCTTGGCTCAACTTACTATAGCAAGCAAGCAAGTTAACCTTCGCCACTCCCTCAGTGCTAACATCCTGATCCACTTCAATGCTCACTGGGACCCCAGTAGCTCATAAAGGCATCATTCATCGGATTCACAGTGGAATTCTTTCCACCTCAGTTAACTTTCATTTTAATGTTTGAATAGTAAGAAATGACAAGAACATTACCTGGACACATTCTTGATTTCTATGATTTCCAACAGCTGGTGTGTTTTCCACTCTCTTCAGTGCATCTCCTTTCACAAAGTTTTTACTGTCTCGTGGTATCTCAGATCCAGGCTGGGGATTTGATGGAAACTGTGGGGCAGATGGTACTGAACCCTTGGTGACTCTTTCCATTAGGGTTCTTCTATAAATGAAGAAAAGAAGTAATTTTGCAAGTAAACACAAGCTTTTCAAACACTTTCTGTTTTTTACCTGCATGTGCTGCAAATACAGAAACTGCAACAGAGGTTACTGTAAAAAAATGTTTTGATAGGCATCTATATCTATACTTTTATGTCCTAAATCTTGAAGTAGTATACCACTGAAGTGGTACAATATCTCACAAAATGGGCTCTACTACTCTAAAAAGCAGATATAGGCTGGTCCTTAAATTATCCAAGACACACAAACCACTGTTAATGCTTCCCCACATTTGGATTATATGGAAGACTCATATGATTGTAACTGAAACTCCTTCCTTCCTTCCTTCCTTCCTTCCTTCCTTCCTTCCTTCCTTCCTTCCTTCCACAACTGTTTCAAATCAGTGGCACTTCTCTGTCACAGAAATTATTGGTATCCTTTTTGTGAAATTTACAGATCTGGGCCTCTTAGGCCAGCACTAGCTTCATGAAATTAGATTTAGAAGTGGACATTGGAGGAAAGGATTGAATGTCCTCTTCCCCAGCATCTGCATTCTGACCAAAATGTCAGCCAGCAG